CTGAAGAAGCGTAGAGGATTTGGAAGTCTGTGCAACCTTTGCCTTCTGCGTTCGTCAGGGGGTTTACCGCTGCGTAAGCCCTCGCGGATTCTACCCGCGAGGCGTGCCGTTCCACGTTCGACAAAGCGGCTGTCTGCATGGAGTTCTGCGAACGGAAAGCGAGTGCTGCAGGTTATGCTTCGGCTGTGCGGCTGTATGGCCAGAGATGCGTTGTGCAATGTTTTGAACCATGGCCGCTGACGCACGCCACCGTCGACACCTTTGTTGTATTGTTCCGGAATGCGGCGTGTCCGTCCAAATATGTATCTCAGTTGTGATTGGTGCTACGGTGGTTGCGGAGTCCTCTCGGCATCTTGGATGACACAATTCGCATAGTGCGGGCGCGCAGAAAAATTTGGCAGGGCGATTCGCCGACTGAAAATCCGGGCAACGGCAGACTAGACGCGGAAGCGTTCGCGTTGGTGTAGCCGGAATGGGCAGGCAGAGCTGGGCAAATCATGGGTGGTTGCACGTTATTTTTGCGTTCGTCATGGCGAGTTGCTGTAATTGCGGGCTCCGCAGGCAAAGGTGTTCGTACCCAGCACGCGCAGGGGAGCACAAGTTGTGCGGATTGTGTTTTTCAACAGGAAGGGCTGCAGGTGCACACGTAATTTGCCAGGTAAAACTCTCTGCGGCGCATGTATCTTGAAGGGGAAATTGAAAATGGCAGCAAATCGCCGCGTAAGCCTTCGGGTTCGCCGAAGGGCGGTCTTGGGGCATAGGCGCTTTTTGGCGGGGTTGGATCACTGAAGTTATCGAAGCCAAAAGGCACAGCTGCATTCTTCCATTCAGGTGGATGGAAGAGCGTGGCTGCATTCGTATACGCGTCAGCGAAGGCGCGTGGCATTGTAGCGGAGGCAGAATTTATTAATTGAATTCTCGGATTCGTCTGGTGAAAAATGAAAACGCATTTGTGTACATTGAACTGTCACCATCTCTTTACAAGGCATGTTCCCTCTCGTTCACATGGGGTGCACTGGGCAGATGGTGGCACAAAATGCGGTGGAAGAAGACACGTGTGAACGCACGACGGTACAAACCCATAAAACGATTGAAGGTTTTGGAGGTACGAAAATCTGACGAGAACAGGGTTCGTGGCCCGCTCTTCCACTCCTCGCCTCTGAGTGGTTTCCTTCGGTTTGCGCCGAGGCGGGGCCTCTTCCTTTCAGGACGTGGTACCCCTTTCCAGGAGCTCCGGATGTCTGTAGTCGGTCTTGGTTTGTCTGTGAAACTGTGTTGGAATTTCGGTCTGTCTGTCTCCGTGTCGGTCGTCTTGTTTGATTATTTTTGTCTTCCTGACACAACGAGGCCAACGGAAACGTGTTACTCAGGAGTGTCGGGCCCGTTGAGGCGAATTAAAAAATACCGCTCGAGAGCGTCAGTCACAAGCCTGGGCCTTGCTTGCTGGAAAGCAGTGGTTGTTGGTCCGTCGCGCGTGGGTTTTGTACTTGTCTGTTTTCCCACCTGCTGTCGTTGGTAGGGGTTGCGCCTTTTCAGCTGGGCAATTGGTGGCACATTGCCCCAGGAGGGCCCGTGGCCAACTGCGCTAGAAAAAAAAACCTATGCACGCACGAGGCCGCAAACCCACCAGGTCGAGGGATTTTTTTTTGATGTCAAATGGGAATCGTCGACAACCTCTTTCCTGGACACAGTGACAATGCCTTCCCGCCGGAACATCATTCGTGTTACGGCCGAGTGCAAACCAATCCCAAGGTGGCCCTACCACCGATTTTGTAGATATGAGTTTGGATTGACGACAGACATCACAAAAGAGCCGTCTACCCCATGAACATAGAGCGCGTGGGCCAACGAAATCTTATCGACGCAATTTGTGCGATTATAATTCTAATTGAAATCCTTTCCACACTTTTAATATATATGTTCTGTCTCGCTTCCTAGAATATCTGCGTGCACGCCGTAACGTCCCTGAAAGTGAGGTGAGGTCCATCAACAAAAACACCCAATACCAAATCTACGTTGCATATCTATTACCTTACAAAAATCCTAATCTGGCGTAAATGAATACCCGAACCGATGCGGAAAATGATACGGGTGGATATGACAACTGATTTCAGTGGATCCGGAAAGTCGTTCACGAAGATCCACAAATGAGTGCAAATAGATGCGGGAACACATGTGGACACATACGGGAAGTGTTGGGCGCATACAGACGTCGTTTTTTAGATAACGAATCGGTTTCCCTCGTCATTTTTGAAAACATCATGCAATTGCCCCCGAAACGTGAATGGGGAGAACAACCTTCAAACAAAATAGGATGCCAAATCCGCGACAATGAATTACTGGCAAACACGGCGCTCCGACGGCTGATAGATCGAAATAGTGGCGACGGGATTGCTTATGCAGAATAAATTTCTATAACATGACGATGATGCCACCATTCCATTCTTCCTGTTTTTTCCCGTGCTAAGCCGCTCGAGCGGCAATACTGCTTCACAAATTTTCAATGTGCGGGAATGCATTCGGAAAATCGGGGGGATCGATTCTGGGGGTACAGAAAAAACCGGGAATGGTGGTCAACCATCTCTTGCAATTCTTGGTCGCTATAGCGAGACGGAAAACTATAAACCACACAAAGCAATTCCTAGACCAAGCAAATACCGCTAAAATTCTCACTGCCCCAAGCCCTTCGCGAGCATCACTGAGGAGAATCTGGCCAATAGAGTGGATCATCATGGCTTCAAACGGAACGCCCTGGCGGCGACCCTCATTTCAAATGGAGACCCACAAATGGGGCAAATGCTTCTGAGCGCCGCTCGTAATTTAAACATAGATCGATGGAAATAATGAATTCCCCATTCTCCTTCTCCCCCCTCCGCCGCTCGCTCCGCCTAAGAGCAAGTTGCTTCGCCTAAGGCGATTTTCGCGCTCAGCTGAGGCGTAGATTGTGGTAGCGTTTGATGTAAAAGGGGAAACAACATCCGCCTGTGGCTTGAGTTTTCGGGCGACTGCTCCTGCATGTGACTGCGCGTGAGGTCGGGCACACCGCGTCGTGCAAACAATGCTCCCGTTCTCTTCGCTGGATCTGTAAGATTCGGTTTGGGAATGTTTGCTTCCTTTTGATGCCGTCCTTTTCCGTCTAGATTAGGAGCATCCTGGATATCAATATGACAGATTACGACGCTGAACTCAGCCGTCTGTGCCATTTTTGCAAAACGACGCCCATTGCCTTCAAGACTGAACCTCGAAACCACCGGGCTGGTTTTTGACACTGCGCGTGGGCTTCCGTACTTCAGCCTCGATTTCTTCCAGATCTTCCAAGAAACGCCAAACATGGGCCGGTGTGCCTGAGGGATTGGATCCCCCGGGGGCCCGTTGCGTCGAGATCCCTCCTTTGGCCCTGGTGGTGAAACGTTCGACGTCGAACTTGGTCTGCTTGGACGGGAGCGGCGGAGAGCTGGCCGCCGTCTGGAAAGTACCTGTCGGCGTTCAAGAAATAAGATATCTGAATAACTTGGGTTGAGGAATAGACACTAATCGCCAATGCCGTTTCCAATCGCCGTACTGTGGGGTGTTCGCGTATTGTTATTTACAAAATTTGTTCTTATGCGTTGGCATTGATATAATACTCCACCACTGCCTTATTGGCCATGTACCATCCAATCGTGGAAACCTTGCACGGCAAGAATTCCCAAACACTGAAATGCTGCACGTAAATCCCAACAATTGTCCGGCAACCTTTCGGAAACGACATTATCCGATCAGAACCTGCAAAGTTGACATCAATTTGAAATCAGCGTACCGAACAATCAATAAGAAGGTGCTGAAGATTTTCCGTACCAGCCGCCACCTTGATAATTAAAATGGACGATCGTGCATCATGGCTAGAAGGGACGATTCTTCAAAATTGCATTGGTTTGGATTTCATTCGATTGCGGGTGGTATCATGTGCAGCATTCACTTCGTCTTCAATGTCTGCGCAGACGGCCGTACACTACCATTATGATGTTTGCGATGGCGGATCGTGCGCGACATATATCCGATACAATACCATATACTAGTGCACCGTTTGACACTATATTTTGAACAACGTGTCGGCAAAAGAACCAGGACCACCTGGGCTCGATAGGGCTCCACATGTTACATGTTATTCCGATTGCGGCCGACGCCCGTGAAATCCAGGACAAAATGCGATTGTTCCGTTGGTCACAATTCGATAACCCACTCATTTGGGCAGCGGCTTACAACGACGAAGACACCATTCTAATATTGAACTAGTTGCGACATGTTTTCGATGCGTGAGGCTACATGTCACGGTATCAACGGCCTGCTTACTGGTAAAGATGTGGTGCAAGCAAGCATTTGGGGCATGACGGCAATCTTTGCGTATACCTGGGATACAAGACATGGTTTCATTGCGTGGTTGGGCACATCATGATTTCAAATCTTGACCGGGAGATGCAACAGCATGTGCTTAATCGAGGTGTACAGACTTTGCGAACGTGTTAAATGTGGAATATACTTATGTCGCCGTGACTGAAATTATGTTGATGGCTCTTGATTTCAAGGGTTATTTGTTCGGCGAGGTGTATGACCGAACTTTTGCGCGCTCCCCTCCACGCCGACGGTGCCCACTCGCGGAAACACCACAAAAGCATCACGGGACGCGCATGGCGCTTGAGATACGGTATCTGGAAACATCAGTGGTGCACTGTAACATGAAAACGCGTTTTCATCGAGGCTATGAAGCCATGCTAGATAGGAACGCTGAGAAGCAACTGCGCGTAATACATAACCAAACGTCGAACGACGACTTCAGACGACTTGATATCACAGCCCCCTGCTAAAACGTAGCCTTGGCTCTGACACCACATCTTTTCTATATGACGACCAGCTTATATGAACACACGCTCGACAACCCTCTCCCCCGAGTGTATCACACAAAGCAGCATAAGCGGCGTAAACTTCTGGAGGTCCGCGCGGATTCCTCGGGTCGGCGCTGGGCCCACCTCCCCCGTCGCGCGGAGTGCGCCGAGCGTGGTCCAGCGCCGACCTAGGAAATCCGCGTGGACCTCCGACACATGATGTTGATGCAACGTGTGACTGCTCGACTGGTGCCCTCACGCTTTTCCGAGAGCGTTGCGCGCGGACCGGGAGAGCAGAGGACAGAGCGACGGTTGCAGGGCGGGTGCGCCCCTTCACCACTGCGCGCGGCAAGCCGTCAAGAGCCAGGGCGCGGAGCAGCGTCTTTGTCCGGCCCTCTCGAGCGCAGCCTCGGTCACGGCCCTCCGTTCCCCGCCTCGTGAGGATGGCCGATGCGCTTTATGGGTGTTTGTGTTTTTTGTAATGTTTTTTTTTTTTTTTTTTTTTTTTTTTTTTTTTTTTTTTTTTTCTCTGTCTCTCTCTCTCTTTTCTAGCTTCGGGTGACCATCGTGACGCCACGGTGAATCAAGGCCACCAATCTTGAACAACCTTCATGGTCGAATCGCTCCTCCAGTAAATGCCAATGTATGGAGAAAGGGGAAACATCTGAAGTGACACCGCGAAACAACAATATGCAACAACAGACCATCCAAAATAAGACTGCGCCCCAGGGAGATCCCACCCTGGCCCGAAAGTGTCAGTCGCAGCAGACAGACAAGGACGAGCGGCCCAAGTCCCTCCAGGATTCTCCGAGGAGGAGGGCAAGGAAGAGCAAAAAGGCCCAGACTCTGGACGTCATGTTTTTGTCCACAAGGTGGACCCCGGGACATCTCGGCCCGATCCCCGGGGCAGATCTCGACCCCTTTTGTCGAGCTGCTCCTGACGGTCCCGCGAGGACATCCAGAGGCCGAAGCGGGCAGAGAACCTCTCGTAATCCTTGCGCGCGCGATGCGAACGGATCCCGTGGAGAACTGGGCCGCCCTTCCCATCGCTGAGCTCAGGCTGATCTTGGAAGCGGCCGGGGGGGGTCTGCGCTGGATGGGCCCCGAGGAAATCTGTCTAGAGGGGGGGGGGGCGGTGTCGAGGGCAGATGCGCTGAAAATCGGGCTCCAGGCCCCTCCAGGGGTCGAACGTGACAAGCTTTTCGAGCCGCGCCCGGCCGTGGCGACTGAGACTCGAGCGGGGACCGACCGTCCCAGCATTCCTTTCGGCATCTGTCGGCCTGCCACGGCATGTGCTCACAACGAAAGCATGTTCCGAGGACGAGAACACTTGTCGCAGAACATGCGCTGACCGATTCACGCAAGGCTCTCTCCCAGCCAGACGCGTTCTGAGAGCATCTCGTGCAAACCGCATGAGGTGCTCAGAATCCCTCCTCTTGGTGGGCCTATCCATCAAAAATGGAGGCAAAAAGCTTCGCCACTGCTTGAGAGACGGCCCGCGCCGAGCCGCTGACGAGCGCCGGCGAGGAGGGCCGCCGCAGGCCGCCCGTGGCCGCCGAGACGGCCCCGACGCCGAGGCCCGCACCGCCATGGCGGCCCAGCGTGGGCGCCTCGCCGCGGGGGGGGCGGTCCCGCGGTCGCCCGCCAGCAGCGCCTGGGCCCGCGGGCGCCCGCGCAGCGCGTCCCCGAGGCAGAGGGCAACTTCTGCGAGGGCGTCGTGAGACGGATTCGGGGCTGCCCCATCGTCCTTCACAACTGCACCAACACACAACACTCCAAGAAACCCTGGGAGGTCAAAACACGACCGCGCAGGTTCGTCCAGGAACCTCTTACGAAGACTGTGCAGGCTCACCCAAGAAGGACTTGTGGTCGTGGGAAATCTTCGTGGGAACGACAAAAAAACAGACAAGCCCGACGAAGGGGCCACTGAGCCGGATCAGCCCAGATTAGCCCAATATTAAACTCGACTCAGCTGGATCAGCTGGTCTCGACCACGGGTACATCAGCGACGATGCTGACTTAAACCTCCCAAGAGAACCGAATTGGCCTTGTTTCAAGCACCTGGAACCTCACGGGTCAATCTGGCTCGACATAAGTGCAGCAGAACGATGGGGCCCAGAGCTCTCGTAGGGTATTTCCGCACCATCCTGTGGTGGTGGATCGCTGTTTAAATAGAAGGCACCCCGCGTTCCTCCTTTTTCCTTCCTTCCCCCTCCTTCCTCCTCCCCTCCCCTCCTTCCTCCCGCATCCCTGCCTCTGCCCCCCGCGCGTCCATTTCGGAACGCGACTCACACGTTTCGTGGCCCCATAGGGAGCTCTACCGAAGGCCCCGGTGGCACAATCCGCATGGCGCTCCCGCGCCCTATTTTGGCACACCCCTCACATGCTTCGTGGCCCCATAGGTAGCTCCACCGAAGAGCCGCCGCGGCACAGTCCGCATGGCGCACCCGCATTCAATACTGCACACCCCTCACACATTTCGTTGCTCCATGGTGAGCTCCACCGAAAGCCCCGATGGTACGCTCCGCACGGCGTACCCGCACTCCGACTTGGCAAAATCCTCACGCCTTTCGTGGCCCCAAACGCAGCTCAACAGAGCTCCGTCGTCCGTCATCCGTCGTGGGTCGTCGGTGGTCGGTCGTCCGTCGGTCGTCGGCCATCGTGCGTCGTCCGTCGCGCGTCGTCCTTCGCGCGTCGAGCGAATTGCGTCAAGCGTCGCGCGTCGTCTGCCGTCGTCGTCGTCGCGGTCGTCGGCTGTGCGCCGTCGTCGTCCTCGTGGTCGTCGGTCGTGGGTCGTCGTCGTCGGTCGTTGCTCGTCGGTCGTCGTCTATCGTCCGTCGTCCATCCTTCGTCGTCGTCGGCGTCGTCTGTCGTAGTCGTCGCCGTCGTCGGTCGTCGGTCGTCGGTCGTGGCCGTCGTCCTCGTCCATCGTAGTCGTCGTCGTCCATCGTCGACCGTCATCGGTCGTTGCTCGTCGGTCGTCGTCGTCTCTTCGTCAACGGCCATCGCCATCGTCATCGTTCCTCGTCGTCATCGGAATCAACCGTCGTTGCTTGTCAACATCGTCGTCGCCGTCGTAGGTCGTAGTCGTCCGTCGTCCGTCGTCGTTCGTCGAACGTCGTCGTGGTCGTGGTCGTCGTCGTTGTTCGTCTTCCGTGGTCCGTGGTCCGTCGTCGTCGTCGTCGTCGCCGTCGTCGACGTCGCCGTCGCCGTCGCTGTCGTCGTTGTCGTCGTTCGTCGGCTTCGTCGTCGTCGTCGTCGTCGTCGTCAACGTAGTCGTCGTCGGTCGTCACCCGTCGGTCGTCGGTGGTCGTCGCCGTCGCCGTCGTCCATCGTCGTCGTCGTCCATCGTCGTCCGTCGTCGGTGGTTGATCGTCAGTCATCGTCGTCAGCGGCGTCCATCATCTTCGTTCGACGTCTGCGGTCGTCGTCGTCGTCGCCAATCGTCGGTCTTCGTCGTCCCTGGCGTCCGTCGTCATCCTTCGTCATCATTGTCGTCGTCGGTTGTCTTCGTTGGTGGTCGGCGTCGGCATCGTCCGTCGTCGGGCGTCGTCGTCGTCGCCGTCATCCATCGGCGTCGTCCGTCGGCGTCGGCGTCGGCGTCGGCGCCGTCCTCGTCGCCGTCGTCGTCGCCGTCGGCGCCGTCGTCGCCGTCGTCGTCGTCGTCGTCGTCGTCGTCGTCGTCGTCTTCATCGTCCATCGTCGCCTGTCGTCCATCGTAGTCGTCGTCGTCGTCGTCGTCTTCGTCAGCGGCGGCGGCGGTGTCCGTCGTCATCGTTCGTCGTCTTCGTCGTCTTCGTCGTCGTCGGTCGTCGGTCGTCCGTCGTCGTCGCTGGTCGTCCGTCGTCCGTCGTCGTCGTCGCCGTCGTCGTCGGCGTCGTCGTCGTCGTCGTCGACGTCGCCATCGTCGTCGTCGTCGTCCATCGTCGTCCGTCGTCGTCGTCCATCGTCGTTTGTCGTCGTCGTCGTCGTCCGTCGTCGTCGTCGTTCGTCGTCGTCGCGGGCCGTTGGTGGTCGGTGATCGGTGGTCGGTCGTCGGTGGTTGGTCGTCCGTCGTCCATCGTCGTCGTCTTCGCTGTCGTCATCGTCGTCGTCGCCGTCGCCGACATTGTTGTCATCGGCGACGGCGTCGGCGTTAGTTCACGTCGAAGCACGATGGTGAGTTGCTGGCTGGCAAAGCCGCTGCACTTCAGACGGCCCCGCGAAGCAAAACACACACGAACACCTTGCCTGCCCTTCTCCCAGACGATCCATCTCACAGGCCCCTGCCCAGCCGTTTCTGGGCCCAGGATCGGTGCATATGCCCCCCTGGCCAAACCAGGAAGATGTATACTCCGATCTCGGGCCCAGGATCGGCCCAGCCAGGGTCAGTGAGGTGGGCAGTTACGACGTCACCTGATACCTTCTCCTCCTTCTCTCCTCCCTCCTCCCTCGTCTTCCTCCTCCTCCTTCCGTCTCCCTCCTTCCGCCTCCTCCCTTCTCCTCCCTCCTCCCTCTTCCTTTTCCTCCCTTCCTCTTCTTTCGAAATCAAGTGGCCCAATACTTTCCGTAAGTCCACCACCGCGCCAGCGTCAAGCTGGGGTGCCTGAGAAAGCTTGATGACTGTCTGGTTATGTGTTTGTAACTTCTGATGCTCCCCCCTAGCGATCCCCGTCAGAACATCGCCCCATAATTTTACTCCTCGGCGCCTACACACCCAACGACTGGCCCAAACTGGCCACTCTAAGACTATCCACAGACGGCCCAACGAGCCCCCACAGGATCCAGATCTCCCCCTAATGTCCCAAGATGCCCCTGATGCTTCCAAGAGACGCCCACAGGGACCTCCAGCGAAGCCCTCCTATGCGAAAGACATGGAGGCATCTAGTGATCATCGAAATGTTTTGCTTTCGATGACCTTCGGCTTCGGATTGCCAAGGGGAAAAGAATTAGGAGGGAGGGAAGGAGGAAACCGGGGAGGAGACGTCTTCACCATCTCCAACCTTCCCAATCCCTCCTTCTCATGGTGAATAAGGGGGTACAAGCAAGAGTCCCCAGAAAGAACGAGGCAACCAAACTATAGCTCACAGGAGAGCCACCAGGCCGCCTTGTCGGATCAGATGAGCGTTCCCTCTTTTTCTTCTTCTTCTTGTTCGTCTCCTCCTCCTCCTCCTCCTCTTTCTCCCTCTCGGGCAGGGGAACTTCCCTCCACACGTCCGCGACCCCTGGACCTGTCCTGGGGCGCGTGCTCTCCAGGATTTCGAAACGGATCCAGCCGTGGCCACGGGGGCGCTGCCAGAGCTACAGCGGTAGGCAAGCACACCCAGAAACCTCGACGCTCCCCGCCCTCTTCCTCCCCCCTCCTTTCCTGCCCATCAGGATCCTTTTGAGGTTCCACGCCCGCTGAGGCACCCGTCGGCGGACGGAGAAAGACTCACGCGGGAAGGGTCGGGTCTAAGAGGTCAGGATGTAAGATATAGCGCGAATGCACTGCGCTTGCCTGCCCCTCATCTCCTAACCACCCCCCCCTTCCCCTCCGTGCCCTCCCCGGAGCGCCCAGGACTGACTCGACAAGTCGGATCGCCGATCGACAGTCGGATTGGCGGAAATCGGCAGCCCAAGTCGGGAGACATCGAATCGCTATCAGGGCCTCCAAAGAGCAACCGAATTCTAGGTCGAAGCCCAGGGCATCGAATCGGAATCGGGATCGATCGACATCGGACCGGATCGGATCGGAAGAGTCGCAAGGAGCCCTGCCCTCCCTGCCCCCCCCTCGCGCCCGCCCCCCCTCCGCCCGCGGCTTGGCTCTCCTGACCCGCGCCGCTGGCGTGGCGCAAGAACCGCCTCTCCAGCCTGCCGGGGACAAGAGGGGGCGGGGAGGGGCACCCAGGACCTCTGGTGCCACGCTGTATAGATAGACGTAGGTGCACATCGGTGTATACCTGTCTGTCTGTCTCTGTCTGTCTGTCTGTCTGCTTGCCTGCCTGCCTGCCTGTCTGTCTCTGTCGGTCTGTCTTCCTGTCTGTCTGTTTATCTGTCTGTCTCTGTCTGTTAATGTGTATGCATGTGTGTTATGTTATGTTGGGTTAAGATATGAGATGTTACATTGTGGTATGGTTTACTATGTTCTGTGATGTGCTGCTGTGGTATGTTTTGCTATCTTTATGTTCTACCGTGTTGTAATATATCGGTATGCACCTATGCATGGGTATATCTGTATATAGCTATATGCACATGTAGCCACCACGGTACCTCGAGGCACGAAGTGAAGTTACCCTCAGGCTCTCACGTGTCCTCTGTCCTCTGTGCTCAAGGATTCGGTATTCCAGCATTCTAAAGGCAGGGGCCGCGATTCTCAAATTTCCTGGGCGTTCTCGCGCGCTTCTGGGCTGCCTCGCGTGACTTGCCGAGGGCCCCAAAACGAGCCAAGACGGCCCCAGAAAGCGTCCAAGAGGGGGTAATCTGCCTCCAATGCAGCAGCCCAAGAGCGCTCCAAGACGCCCCAAACTGCCCCAAGACGACCCAATAGGCTCCACCAAAAAAAAACGCCCCAAGGGAACCCCCTAAGAGGGCCCACTCCAGAAGCTCCCACGGCCGCCGCAAGACGGCCCAAGAGGCCCCCAAGAGGGCCCCCAAACAGTCCCAAATGACACCCGCACGACCCATCGCCTAAGACGGCCCCAAGACGGTCCAAAGAAGGACCTAAGAGACCCCCGAGAGGCCCCCCACGATGTCCAAACGAACGTCCAAGAGGCCTCCAACCTACAACCCACACACGGTGGCGGGATGGGCCGTAGGCCATTATATATATACATACATATATATATATATATACATGTCCATTGACCATGCACACATGCATGCATGTATATGCATATATCGATCCATATGTATATGTATACGCACATGTATATTCACACATACAAGCATTTGCACACATACACACATACACACATACACATACACATACACACATACACACATACACACATACACATATACACACATTCACACATACACACATACACACATGCATATGTACATACACACATACATCCATACGCATACATACAAACATCCATGCATCCACACGTACATACATACATACGTACACATGCATACATACACACATACATACATACATACACACATACATACATACATACATGCATGCATACATACATACACACATGCATACATACACACATTCATACACACATACACACATACATAATACATACATACATACATACATACATGCATGCATGCATGCATGCATGCATACATACATACATACATACACACATACATACATACACACATACATACATACATACATCCATCCATACATCCATACATACATATACATACATACACATACATATACAAGCATATACATACATATACAAACATATACGTACATATACATATACATACATATGCATACATATACATATATAGACATACATACACACACATATGCATACATACGCACATACATACATACATACACAAACACATACATACATCCGTACATCCATACACCCATATATCCATACATACAAGCATACATACATACATCTGTATACGCATGCATCTATACATATCTGCTCCGCTACACGCGTTAAATTTGTTATGCCTGCATCGATGCAACGCAACGTTCAAACTCCAAGGTGAACTTCTGGGCCCTAGAGTCGTCAAAACCTGGCCCAGGAAGAACGGCGCCTCCCAAGGATGGAGTGGGGGTCTCAGGGGGGCCGAAAAAGGGGGGTGCGCGAGGGAGCAGAGAGCGTGATACACCGCTGCTTTACTGTGGAAAATTCACCCCCCTCTTCCTCCGGAACCCGGGGTCCCCCCCCCCCTCCCCCTCGGAAAATCCCCCCCCCCCCCCGGACCCACCCCCTTCCCCTAACCCCCCCCGCCCGTGCAGAAAACCGGGGGGGGGATCACTACCGGTATAGACGGAACCTGGGCATCCTTTGAAACCATATCCATGAACGATGCGAGCACACAGTGCAACCCAATCCCACCAGCCCTTTGGGCGTAGGCGGTCTAAGGGGGTCCTCTTCCAATCCCTTTCGTCCCCTTTCGGGGAGTGGTTTACCACTACCCCCATACCCCCTCCCCTGGACCTGGACGGGGCGCCCCGTGAGGTGTCAGAGGGTCGGTGTTCGCCCAAGATGGCTCCACGAGGACATCAGGGAACCCAAAATGACCTCAAAGACGGCTCAAGATTACCCAAAATGGTTCACATCGGTTCCAAAAATGCTCCAATAGGCTCCAAGAGCGCTCCAATACGGTTCGGAAGCGCCTCCGAGACCTCCAAGGAAGCCTCTAAGAAACCAAGCTCTTTCAAAAACCTTAGGAAAACCACTGTTTGTTCCTGTCCCGCCTTTTTTTCATTTCCGATGGCCATTCGAAGCCTCGATATGGCTCCAAGATGGCCCAAAAGGGCCCCGCGAGAGACCCAAGAGAGCCCCACTACGGCCACAAAAACGCCCAAGAGCGTCCAAGAGCGCGCCAAGAGGGATCCACGAAATGATTTTCTGGGCTCCCGAAAAGGAGGGCGCTAATTGGAGTTCCCCTCTTCTTTGATGGATCTCCTCCAATATGGCCCCAAAAGCGTCCATGAGGCCTCCAAGAATCTCCCAAGAGACCCCCAAGAGGATGCCCGAGGCACCCAAGACGCTCAAAGACGGCCCTGGGCTCGCCAAGCTGCCCTTCCTCTACCTCCTCCTCCTCCTCCTCCTACTGCTCCTCCTCCTCCTCCTCCTCTTCCTCCTCCTCCTTGTCCACTGTCTCTTCCTCCTTCCTCCTCTTTGCCCTAACCAGGCTTCCCTCGCTTTCTGTTTTTCTGCATGCTTCCCCACTTCCCCGATCACCTCAATTCCCCTGGGCATCGTTTCTGGATGGGCTGGTGGGGGATATTTTTTGTTCGCGAGCGCAAGCGGAAGAGCCGCGCGCCGTCAGGAGATTGCCGGCTAGCAACGACCTAACGTACAGCGGCCTAAAACGGAACCGAACGCGCGCAGCAGACAAGCGGCGGGTAAACATGCAACGTCGGCGGCGGGGGCGGGCTCAACCGCAGCTCGGCAAACCAGGCGAGGACACGATAGCAAGCCAAAATGGCTGTGAATTCGACGGCGCACGCAATGCGATGACGTTGGGTCTGCAGGTGCCGACCGTAGAATCAGCAATCCACCGCAATCGTGAGGCACGGTGCCGTGTGACCCCTTCCACGTAGGCGGGCGGGCCTACAATGATGGCGTGTGACCAGCGCTGGGGGTCAGTGGGGATACGCGAAGCGTCAACGATGTTGCAATATCTGCTCTCCTCCGTGCCCCCAAATAAACGCTCCCCTGCCTGAATCCCGAACAAGATTTTCCCCTGACCACAAGCAACTGCCCGATTACCGCGCGCACTCACGCACATCATCACTCGTGAACTTTAAACGGGCCCACTTGGAACGGTATGTCGCCCAATACGAACACTTGTAATATCAACATAGCGTTTTGAATATTCCATCTGTCAAACTCCTTCCTGCACTTAATGCAAATCTACGTAGGTGCTGGCAAAGCTGCGTGCGCAGCTTTGTACGGTGTTATGTGCGCAGGGTATTGCCAGTCCTGATCGTGATTTAGCCTGGCAGGTGCAAGTGTAGGTCATTGGTCAGCACTTGTTACGCAATCTGACTGCCTACCAGACCACCCCAACCCAACCCGAAGACCCGAATTTCGGGTTGGGGGGGGGAAGTGTTCCACATGTGTTTTTTCGATGTTCCCGGACCCCCCCCCACTAGAAATCGAGGGTAAATCTGAGCCTTCGGGTTGGGTTGGGGTGGTTTGGTGGGTGGTGACAATCACTTTTCTATCATCCGAGCTTCGAATCTGAAAATCGCTGTGAAATCGCGAGCCACGTCAACATCAAGATCTTGGCTCTTGCTAGTACTTCGTCACCCGCTTGCCAACTTGGCTCCAACAGGCTCCACACTTTCACCGCTACTGAAACTGCCTGTGCAGCCTGTGCGCCCACAGAAACACACGATCATTACGACCACTCGCGCTTTGAGCAACCGAGGTACGGCAAATTCGTGTCGTCACGACCCCAACGTTAGTTCCTGACAACGCGTGGATCTCTCAACCTTGAACGACCGGCGGCTTTCCGATCGCCAGATCGTTCCATGTTGGCCGATTCTGGGCCCCTGGCGGCGTTCAACCTTGAGCGCCCGCAGCGAGGTCGCCGCCGCTTCGACACGACGCGGACCTGCCGTACTCCAACAACCTGAACACACTCTCCGCCTACTGCTGGTCTGGCATGCCCTGGGACCCTGAGATCCGACGTCACGGAAAACTTGCAACGTCGTAGAAAATCATCTGGACCCCATCTTTCTGCGGCATTTTTTAAGCCAGATCGGCCCGAGAGTGCCAAGGCGCCCCAGACAGGGCAAAAAACGACCCCTTGTAGAACAAGTGCTGCGCCAGGAGCTCAGGGCATGCCCTGCCGCCCCACGACGTCCCGCCTGGGCAAGTCCGCCTGCCTCGCCGACAGCTTCGCACGTGGGCACACGGCTGGCGCCTGCAGCGAAGCGTGGCAGGACCGGCGCTTCGCGGTGCCAGGCGCCTCGACGGGGAGAGGGGCGCGGCGAGAGTGACGAGCGCCAGAGCGAGAGGGTGGCGAGGGGCAGCACGAGGAAGCGCGAGAGGGGCAGCAGAGGAGCAGAGGCGAGGCGGCTGGGGCGTCACCCTGGGGTACCGACTGCAGGGGAATTGCTAGGACATTCCCAGGACCCGAAGGGGCTTCAACGAGGGCACCAATCTCTAGCGACGCTCGAAATTTCCATGACAAGGGAGGGGGGCAGGCCGAAGCAAAGAAGAATAACACGAGCTTGGCGTGAGGAAGCGGGGTGCCGAACGAAACAGATCCTGGACACTGGGACTTTCCTTGGAACATGTCTTTTCCTATCGAGACTTCCTTTGACGACCACGGGGCCCAAGGCCCAAGCACGGCTCCGAACAAACGAGAACGACGAAATACCTCAGGTGCCCCGTGAATCGTGCAGAGGTTGCCACAGCTGTTTTTTCTCGCCTCTCCATACCTCGGGGTTTTGAGAGATGACTCAAGAAGAAACGCTGGCCCCTGCGAAAGAGTCGAGGGCCCCTGGGGCCAACGACACCCAAAACATGTGACTTCGGAGGAGAGGGCTTTGCGTAGACGTCCACGGCAACAACAGAACCGAACACTGATCAAAACGACGGCGAGACCGAAGCCGACCGAGACCGACAGGCCAAAAACACCCTAGTATGTAGAAAGGCACAAAGACGCAGCCGGCCGAGCCGAATCGCGGACACCTTCGAAGCGGCTGGGTGGCCTGCGCTGGATAAACCCTGAGAACGTCGGTCAAGAAGGGGCGACGAAAACAACTCCGCTCGAAGTCCGTCCCTGGACCCTTCCCAAAATCGAAACTGACAATATGTTCGAGCCGCGCCCAGCCGTTGCGACGAAAGGGGGCCCCTCTCCCCCCGCTTGCTGCCGGCCAGAACCAATGCTCGGCTACCTCAGCCACCCAGCCGGCTCCAATGTCAGATGCAAGGTCACGGGACCCTTCAATGACGCACGCGCTCTTGGTTCTCGTTCCACTTTCTCTCTAGTTTGACCATGTGGCACAACTGAACAACAATTGATATAACAACATAGTGAAATTGGAACGACAAAAAATACATCTGCAACACAACTAAAACGAAACGGAACCAACACCTGAAAGAAACAGAGACGACGCCGCAACGAAACTGGAACGACATCGTAGCACAACTGAAACGAAGCTAGAACGTCCCATCGCTGATGAAGGCGACCGTAGAACGAACAAGTGCCACTGACGCGCACGAGGAGAAGCGCACTCTTGGGCATCTCGAGGGCCCCCGGGCCCCCCACACCCACAACCAGGTGGACCCCCCCCGCGGCCCTCGTGGCGCGGCGAGGCCGTGGCGCGGCGAGGCCGTGGCCTGCTCGGCGTGCCGCCGCTGCCGACCGCCGCCCCGGCCACACCGGGCGCGGCGCCGCGAGCTGCAGCGCTGCGCGCCGCAGCTGGGCCGCGAGGGGCCTCGGCCGCCGGACGGCGGGCGGGCGGCGGCGAGCGGCCAGCGGCGGCGGCCACGGCGGGCGGCGGGCGGGCACGGCCAGCGGCGGGCGCCGCCGGCGCGGCCTCGGACGGCGGCGGCGGGCGGCAGCAGCGAGCGGAACCCGCGGGCGGCGGCGGCGTGGCCTCGGCGGCCGGGCGGCGGCGGCCGGGGCGAGCGGCGGCGGGCGGGACGGTCACCGAAGAGGAAAGTGGGCCCTGGACGCCCGGGGGCCGTCCCCTGGCCACAGGATCCTCCGAAGACGACTCGGGGTGAAAGGTAGCCCAAGATGGCTCCAATATGCGCAACAAAACCACCTGGATGGGCCCGGGAGGGCTTCAAGACGGCCCCAAGAGCGTCAGAGGAGTACCCACAGCGCGCAAGATGGCACCAAAAGACGCCATTGTCAAACTCCGTTGGGGCGGTGCTAAGTGGTGCCTTTTTTATCCCCCTGACTTTGCATGATCAACACAATTCAAAACATCCTCAGGTGTGTGAGGAATGTTGACTTTTCAGGAGCATCCCTCGAAGGCATTTGGGCTACGATGGCTCCAAGCTGGCCGCAAACACTCTGATATGCTCTCCAAGATAAACCATTATCGGTCAACGCGTTCTCCCACATGCCACCAAGAGTCCCCAAGACGAATGGGTCACACATTGCAATACCAACGCGCTCTTCCACGGTCGCGCAGTCCGAATGACGACGAGACTTGCATGTGCCAACGGCTTGTGCACAAATGCGCTTCGACCTCTGAGTGTTCCCCGATGCCTGCCTATTCCGACGCCAATTACCACGTTTCTCTTCTTCGATCGTCATAGTTTCTGCGTTCCTGCTCTCCGACGCCTGCTCCGACGCCCGGCCCGACACAGTATCGATCAACCAGATGTCTGGCACCCCGTCGGCACTCCCCAAAACTGAGTTGGCCAGAGACTTGCCGCAAAATGGAGGCATCGCGGCGGCGTGTCCGAGGTGGTAATGCCTGCAATTTCCCACACAGTTGCGCTATTCATGCTTTTTTGATTATTCAAGAATTATGCTTCGTTCCAACGCCTGTCAGGGCAATGATCTGGCCGTACCCTCTCTTGCTCTTTAGTCCGCATCCTGCATGATGCTGAATGTTGCCAGTGTTGCTCATTACTTCCCAACGCGCTGCCGACTACGCTACCGAACAATTTGGGCGACAATTGCATGTGCCAACGTGTCACCAGCGCTGTGGCCTTCGAATTTCCCCAAATGCCTCTTCTGACGCCAACTACCATGCTTGTGCTGTTTGTGTTTCCCACGCCCTCGTCCTACTCTCCGACGCCTGCTCCGACCCTGCCTCGACGCCAGGTCCGGCAGAGTATCGATCAACTGGGTGTTTGGGACCACGTCGGCATACCCCAAGTCTGAGTTGGCCACACACTTGCCGAGACGTGGAGGTATTGCGGCGGTGTCCTGATGGGGACAATGCCTGTATGTAAGTTCCCACACAGTTACGCTGTTCGTGCTTTATGGTTGTTCAAGGTTTATGCTTCATTGCAGCATCCACGTGGCCTCGGCGCTTCCCAAGATCACTCCTGAGAGCCACAAATCTTTCAGAGGCCCAAGGCTGTCTAATCATTTTGTCGTTCTCGCCTGCTCGCTTGCGATTGTTTTTTTAGGCGTCACTATGGCGTCCATACCGCACAATACGGCCCCAAGAGGGGCTCAGAACAAAGATTCAAGACGGCCACCAAAGCCCCAGGAGAGCCCTAATCCGCCGATCTGGCGCGTGAGTACTAAAAAGCAACAGCCTGAGCTTCAACTCTGCTGGGGGGGGGGGGGCGGGGTGGCTCTGCCGGGAAGGGGGGAAGGGGGGGGTCTACAATTTCCGGGGCCGCTCCCGCGCCGCAGGAGGAAGGGTACTGGGGCGGCTTGGCCGGGGAAGGGCGGAAGAGGGGCAAGACGGGCCCAAGAGGCCCCCAAGAGGCCCCAAGAGCGCTCCAAGAGGATCCCCAAGAGGCAAACATCATTGGTATCCCTTGGGTTTTTAATTTGTTGTTTTCGGTTCCCGCCTTTTCGAGTCAGGCCCCAAAGAACGCCCGAAGACAACCAAGAGGCCCCCAAGAGGGCTCCAAAACGCCCAAGGAGGTCACTGAGAGGCCCCAAAACCACTAAATAAGAGAGAAGATAGAAATGACGGGAAGGAACCGTGTACGCTTAAACATTCACGCTACGACCCGCCAAATCATTCACCAACGAACCAACAAATTCGGGAATTAGCCCGCCAATAAGCTCGACAGACGAACACGAGGCAAATATTCCATTCAACACGTACTGCCTAAAGCGACTGCCAACACCCCCCCTCCTCCTCCTCCTTCTCCTTTTCCCCGTCCTCTTTCTCCTCCTCCCCCTCCTCCTCCTCCTCCTCATCCTCCGCTTCCTCCTCCTCCTTTATCCTGCCTCCTCGAAGTAAAACTCAACAACTCTATTCGACAAGAAGAGCTCGCATGTAGCGTCCCAGGGCGTCCCGGATCGGCGGCACAAGTCGGAGCCCGATACAATATACGACGATTCGAACTAAAGGAGGGCAGTGCAAATTCACGCGCCCCCTTTTTGGGGTCGTGTCATCCAAGCCCCCAGACCCCCAAGGGGGCCCCTATAGAACCCTGCTTGATATTTGGTTTTGAAGCGGACATGCCCTTCTAACCGATTAGCTCACCGAATCGGTCGAAAATCCATGCATTCGACAAAATGTGAAACGCCAGACATGCAGAGACATATCACGGCCACGTAACATGGTAAGTCCTGCAAGCATGGATGAGGTGTGGGAGAGAAGAGCGGAAGGAAGGAAGCAGAGGGAGGAGAGGAAGATAGAGAGTGAGAGAACGCGCGGTCCCTAAATCTGGCTGCAAAAGGGGTCCCGAAAAGCAATTCGCTCAGGGATCATTTCTGGATGATCTAGTGGGAAAGCCAGAACATGATAAAGTAACACTCGAGACGGTGGAGAAAGAACGAAGGCATAGGCCACGCCGAGGTTAATCGCTCAGAACACGCAACACTTGATCAACATCAGCCGCACAATTGATTAATGGCCATCTCCTGTCAACAGGGTGGCGGTGACGAATGGTGACGAAGACCTCGATGGCTCTGGTCGTGGAAGCGGTGCGCTCCTCCTCCACGCCCACCTCCTCCTCCTCCTCTTCCTCCTCCTCCTCTTCTTCCTCCTCTACGCTCCCCTCCTCTACGCTCCCCTCCTCTACGCTCCCCTCCTCTTCCTCCCCCTCTCCTCCTTCCCTCAAACCTCGCCTCCCTCTCGCCCCCCGCCTCCCTTCCGTCTCCCCCCCCGGTTCCACCCCCCCCCTCGCTCGTCGTCAACCTTGCAACACCCGCCGCCGCTGCCGCGGGCCCTCCCGGCCCCCGCGTGCGGCACCCCGCGCAAGGCGTTCGCTGAAGGCGCGGCCGCGGGGCCGCGCCGCGCCGCGGCCCCCCGGAGCGGCGGCCGCGCGCCGGGCGAAGGTGCGGTCTGCGTAGTCCTCGGCCTCGGCGCGGGACCTCCGCGGGAGCCGGGCGCCGCCGCTGCCGGCCTCGCCGCCGCCAGCCGCCGCCTCGCCGAGTGGCCGTGTTGGCCGATGCCCGCGGCCAGCACGGCCACTCTGGAGGAACAGCATGATGCATCTAGAATCGCACGTGAACTTTGGAGGCCCGCGCGGATTTGTGGATCGGAGCTGGACCCCCTCCCTGGCGCGCGGAGCGCGCCAGGGGTGGCGCCGGAGGCGCCGCCAGAGGGCTCCAGCGCCGATCCGAAAAATCCGCGCCCCCTGGGACCTCTCTTGGGGCGTTCTTGGAGCCTTCTTGGGCCGTCTTGGAGGCCTCTTGGGCTGTTCGGAGCCCTCTTGGACCGTCTTGGGGCCCTCTGGGGGGCCTCTTGTGTCTTGTTGGGGCGGTCTGGGGGGCTGTTGGGCCGTCTTGGGGTGTCGGGAAGCCGAACAGGTGGAAACGCCAAAATCTCTCCCAAACCCAAGGAAAATCAATGACATTTGCCTCTTGGGGCCCTCTTGAGTGTGCTCTGGGAGGCGTGTTGGGCTGTCTGGACGCCATCTTGGGCGTCTTGGAGCGATCTTGTGGCATCTCGGAGCTCTCTTGTATCATCTTGAGGGGCTCTTGGCGGCCTCTTGGCCTTTCTTGGCTCTCTGGACGGCCTCAAGGGCGCGCCCAGGAGGAAAACCATCTCTGACCCGCAGCGCCCAGGACCTGCCCGGGGTACTTTTCTTCCGGGGACCCCCAGGGGCCGCCCCGCGCGCGCTAAGTAGAATTACTGTAAAGCAGTTGCCGGAAATCTTAGCACGCCTCTGGTCCGTTGGGCCGGCGAATTGCCTCCTGTTGCCGACTGCCCGATCCTCCACCTCCTCCTCTTCCTCCTCCCTCCTCGCTATCCTGCTCCCTCTTCCATCCTCCCTATCCTCCTATCGATTCCCTCCTCTCTCTTCCTCCCTCCCCCTCAGTAGCTTCCTTTCTTTTTCTTCTTCACCTCCTCCTCCTCCTCCTCCTCCTCCTCCTCCCTCCTCCCTCCTCCCTCCTCCCTCCTCCCCCCCTCCTTTGCCGAAACTTCCTCCTCCTTCTCCTCCGTCCTACCCTCGCCCTCGCCGAATCCGAGGACGGTGAAGGCAGCAGCGGGCAGGAGCGCCGCCTCCGCAGCCGCGGGGGGTGCCGCTCGTGCTGGAGGAGCTCGATCCACACCTCCGACGCAGGAGGGAGGGGGGGGAATGACGGTGCTCTGCGGGCGGTGGCGGTGGTCGGCGGTGGGAGGGAGGCTTGGTCGGCGGCGCGCCCGTGGGGGAAGGCAGAGATGGGCGGGTCCAAGAGGGAAGGCAGAAGGCCTCCGGCGTTCTCCACACGAGGGCCTCTCGGAGGGCCGAGGGGTTTCTGAGAAGCCCCGCCGCCTCCTGAGGATAAGGAGCCGAACCCTATACACAGACGCTTTTTGTGGCCCCGCACTAAAATTCGCACAAGAAAACGGATTCTGGTGTATCCGGGATCCTGGTGTATACATTTTACGCTGTTTCCCAATGGAAGCGGGGAAACAGTATGCACCACACCACCCCGACGTCGTCCCCGACCCTCGAAAAATCTTAGGATTGAAAGACGGCCCACCACTGGTTATGTACATGTTCCTGTTTCCGAAAGGAGGCCTGCCCCCTCTAACTTCCTGCCTCAGCGCGCCGCCAAGCTGTGAAACAGATGCACCCAGGGTTCGGAGAGGATCCTACAGGCTGCGCGGAATTCTGGGGGGCCTACACTGTGGTCAAGGGGGCGCTTGGTGGCCATGGAGGGCTCCTGGAAGGTTCTAGGTCTAGAGCTGCGGTCGCGATGCGCGGACCGCCGCGTCGCGGCGTCAGAGCGTCAAACATCATCCGCACCACCCCCCTTCAGACGATCGCGATCCCAGGCGCACCGTGCTCCGTCAGACTAGCACAATCGGCGCTGGAGCGTGCAGAACTATCACAGTACCCACCGCACTCCCTCCTGCCGCGGCGAGCCCCTTACCCGCTGTGACGGGCCCGTTTGCAGATGTAGACGGGCCTCTCACGGCGGGGGATGCCCATGTCGGTGCGCCCCTCGCATGGCTCGCGGGGTCCGGCCCCTTCCTGCTCCTACCCCCCTCGTCCTCTTCCCTCCTACATCCTCAATCCCAAGGGGGCAGTCGGAGGACCCTTGGGGAGATCCGCTGGCCCCCTTGCGGGACCATCAGGCTGCGAAGATTAGGCTGCGAAGATTAGGCTTTCCTACTGTAAATTGTTGCTGAACGCGCGAGGGGGGGAGCCCCAAAGCAGCATTTTTGCAACGGCCGGATCACGCCGTCTGAATTCCTGAAGGGGGCGTGGGACAAGTAAAAATACATGATGTTCGCGTCCCCGAGGCCATAATCCTTAGTAATTTACGCCATGCTCGCGTCCCCGAGGCCATACACATTTGTAACTTAAGCAACATTCGCGTCCCCGAAGCCATAGCTCCTCGAAATTTGCATGATAGTTGCGTCCCCGGGGCCATACAACCTAGTACATTACACCATGATGCGTCACCGACGCAATAACAACTCTTTGTTGCAACTATACGAATTTTGCATCCCCGAAACCATAAACCTTAGCAGATTTGCAAAATTCGCGCCCGAGCCGTAAACCCTCGCCAATTACACTGTATATTCGCGCTCCCGAGACGATAAATCCATTTCGATTGCAGGATATTCGCGTCCCCGGGGCCATAAGCCTTTGCAGATTACAAGCTACTCGCGTACGCGAAACCACAACCCTTTGTAAATTACACAATGCTCGCGCCCCCGAAGCTATACGACCTCGTAGATTAGGCAATATTCGCGCCCTCGAATCCATAAACCATGATCAATTATACCATGTTCGCGTCCCCGAAACCATACAATCGCGTAGATTATGCAATAGTTGCGTCCTCAAGCCCACAAGCCTTCGTAAATTACACGATGTTCGCGTCCCCGAAGCTGAAGTCCCAACATTGCTTCACGTCAGTGGCCAGACATCCCAACACAGCTCTGGCAAATCCCATTCGAATAGAGGGGGGCAGCGGCGGGGGGCGGAACCCTTACAGGTAAGATAATGACCTCCCTACTCCCATGGGTGCTGCCCCTGTGGCGGCGCCGTTTGCGGTCCTGTCCATTCGAAGGAGGAACAAGGGGGGCACAAGGGGGGGGGGGCGAGGATTCTCTTGGACTCTGAAGGATGTACACCGTTGGGAAACAAACGCTTGAACATCTGAGAAAATGGCACAACACCACTCCTGGGACTTCACCGCCGCGAAATATAAGTAATAAGTAATCTATGTTGCGTCTTGATAATCCTGAATCGTGCCAGGACACCAGTTCTGGGACTTCATCACGGATCAATGTGGCTGTTGCGCCGTGACAATCAATCGTGCGCACACACACGCAGTTGCTGGGACCTTAACCCTGATAACCCGTGAAGCTGCTGGAGACTCAAAAAACAAGTATGCGAGGCGCAAACACGGGAACCACATCTTGAACATGGGCCGCCCACCATCCGTGAAGCTCTTACAGTGAGGAATGTGCGACGCGCGAAGGCGGGAGGCACATTTTGAAAACGACCCGCCCTCCATGGGTTACTTACACTCTTTCAACTTTTAGAGGCGGGTGCGCGCGGCGAAAGGCGAAAACTACAGTCCCCAATTCGGTTTGCCTACAAGGGCTCTTGCTTGGATAAACATTGGTGCGCGGCGCCCCCCTCGGAGCGGCGATCCTCTTTGATCCAAGGGGGCTGCGGTCTTGCGCCCTCCCAACATCCCTGAACGATCATCATGGCTCTGGCGCGCCTCCTCGCCGCGTCTTTGCGGAGCGAGGCGCGGCGCCCCCCGCGGAGCCTCCCGCTGGGAGCGGCCTCTCAGGGGTAGTCGGGCACCTTCAGGTGCTGGCGCTCGCAACAGGTGTCGTAGTGGCCGGCCCGATCAGCTCGTCGATGGTCAGCCTCGGGCCCTGCTTGGCCCTGGATGGCCCCGCCGCCGCCCTCGCCAGCCCGTTGGCACGGTCCGCCTTCAGGCCTGTCGCGCTGAGGCCGCGCGCCCGCAGCGCTGCCCTCAGCTCGTCCACCTTGCAGATCATCAGCTCGCCTCTGACGGCTATCTGCTCGCCGCTGAGTGGGCCTCCGTGGAGCTCCTCATACTGGCGCTCCGCGATCCTCGACGCGCCCTGTCGTCGCTGCCGATGACCTTCGTTTCTGATCGGCGCGGGGCCTCCCGCTGCCGATCCCATGTCCGCGCGCTCTGGGGCTTGAGGCGGTGCTTCCCGCTCTCGTCCGCCCTGGGCGCTGTCGTCTCGCCCCCGCCTCCATGGGCGCGGGGCCTCCCGTGGCCTTCGGGCCTGGGCTCGTCTGAGGCTTCGTCGTGTCAGCTGGCAGGCCCAAGCTCGAGCAAGTTGCCCACGTGCGAATCATCTGCTCTCCAGACGAAGCGAAGAGACGGAGCCCCCCGCCACTCGGTGTGTCGCTTGAACAAGCTGCCGCGGCTACCGATGGCGGCGCCCGGCCCTGCTCGACCCAGCTTCTTGATCTCGATGTGCTCCTCCAGCAACGAGTCGTGCACGTCCAGCTTCGCCGGGGCGCCTTCTGCCGCGAAGTAGCCACCAAGGGCGCCCAGCGTGATGCCCAACTTCTCGTTGTAGAAGGCGCCAGGCGTGATCCGAGCCCATGGTGGCTGACTCTTCTTGAAGACGTCGCCGACGTACGCCTGCCACAACCTCGACGCAGGCCTCGCACCGTAGAGCGCCTTGTGGAGATGCCAGACCCGCCCGCGTCGTCGCAGCCCAGGCGGCGGCATCGCGCGCAACCGTTCGTCCATGTCCGCGTGGAAGAACGCCGCGCTGGCATCGCACAGGGCCACTTGCCTCAACCCCGATGGGGGCTTCGAGGCAGCCAGGGGCACCACCGAGCGCAAGTAGAAGAGGTACGGCGTACCTGCCGCCACATCGTCGCGCTCGTAGAGGTTGAAGCCCATGGCCACGAATCTCGACCGTGCGAATGGCGCCCCGTCTGGCCTGTATCGGAGTCCGTCAAGCCACTTGCTCCGCATGCGCCCACCGACGCTCGAGTCGTCGCACGCGTCCTCGTAGGCGCCGAACGCGGCCATCTGGTTGAGCTCCTGCTGACGCCCCTGCACCACGAGCTCCCTCGGCGGCACCTCGCCCGAGCGGCTGTCGTACGCCGCCGCCGCTGGCACGAGGTCGTATGCCCATGCTGTCGGAGCCTCCCGATCACGCACGGACGCCGCGAACAGCTGCAGCCGCTCGCACTCCTCGCCGTCGAGTCCCAAGTAGGCAGGTTCACTGATGCCCACGGGCACCACGAGGTTGGCCACCCTGGGCGCCTTCGACCGCGGCTCCTAGGGTCGACGTCGGCTCCTAGGGTCGACGTCCATCCCCGCGGAGTCGCCCGTTGAGCCACCCTCCGCAGGAGGTGGCTGGGATGCACTCGCCGCTGTTGCCGCACCACCCGCTGCTGCTGCCATCGCGGCTGCGGGGTCGACCGCTGCCGCATCCACCTCCATCTCTGGGGCTGCGATAGCGTCGCCTGGCAACGGGTGGACCGCTGCCTGCCGATTCGCCTCGTCCAAGAGCTTCCCCTCCATGCGCTTCCTGCACTCGTGGGAGCGCGCCGCTTCGCCCCCCCCCCCCCCCCCCCCAGCACTTCGGACAGTTCAAGGTGGGCCCGTAGGTTTGCACCATCCTCTTCGTCGCGTAGCTGGCCCGTCCGAGCCTCGGTTCGGGTAGGGGTCCTGGCGGAGCGCCCAGAGGTCCTGGAGGCGGGCGTGCTGGTTTGCCCGCCGCTGGAACTGCTGCTGCTGCTGCTGCTGCTGCTGGAAGCGCATCCTCGGCCTGGCGCTGCTGTGCCTGCGCCTGGCGCACCCTCGCCAAGTTGTCACCGTGGTGGGGCTCGGCGCCTCCCCGGGGCTGCTCTGCCGCGGTGTCCGCGCGCTCAGGCTTGGACTGGAGGTCCCAAGGCAAGCCCGCGAAGCTGTTCAGCGCGTCCACGTTGAACCTCCGCTCCTTCGGCAGCCTGCCGATCGCGCGGTGGCGGCTGTTCTGCCGCGACCCGCTTGCCCAGCCAGACGCCCAAACGACCGCCTCTCCAAGCGTGGCTACCTTCCCGCGGTACGGCTTCCCCCTATTGACGTGGTGGGCCGTCTTGCCAGAGGCCTGTCCAACG